GATAAGTTTTTTTCTGTTTAATTTCCGATCTGTTGGGCCACTCACGATCATTCAAAAATAAATTTATTTCAAAACACTGAAATACTTTACGGAAGCAACAGATGCTTACATAACATTTCTCAAATGCATACTGCTTCAAAGGAAAAGTCTTGAAAATATTTTGAAAAAAGTGCCATGGCGACAGTGCCCAGCTTGCGCGTCGCCGTCGAGCCTAAATTCAATACATGCGATAGCTCATTTCAAATGAGTATTTTGCAAAAAATGCAATTGCTAGTTCAGTAGAGGTATTGACTTTAAATTCAGCTTATATATATATAGTGATACTTACTTGCATCAAATACCCGCCATCTTCTTTCTGCCGCCGTCTTCTTTCAGGGTCCAGCAGCAAAGAGCACCCCGGCTGTTTCCGTCAAAATTTTATGCTACTCTAAATCATTCTTATTTTCAACTACATATTTCAGTATTTTCAAAAGTTTTCAACAGTATTAAACGGGATGAAAATTTTCGAAAAAGAAAAAAAAAGAAAGATATATGACTCCCACAATGCATCGCGCGGAAAAGAAAGTTAAGCCGCCATATTGGAATCGCCTCGCAAAATTTACCACCATAAAACGTGAGTCTTCGTCACTGTATTTACAAATTTCGATGTCTGATTATCATTAATACACAACACAAAACGTTTTCTTGATGTACAAGTAATGAAGAAAATGTCGATAAGGTTGTTTCATTTAATGACTAGGATCAGCAACTTTATTGTAGGGGCGATAATCCAATGATTACGGTAATGTCCGGCAAATGGAGTAGGAGTAAACTTTCGATTTATGAACCAATGAAAACGAAGTACTGATACTCAGGGCCAGGGGCGACAGCAACATGCTGATGCTCTTAGCATAAAAAACAAGTCAATACCTAGACCCCTATTGATACCCCTAGTATCTAATTTATACAAAGGATCCGGAACCGGGTTACAATATCCGGAACTTAATTATAAGATTATCATGGACACTACAGGTGTGTTATTCAAATCGCCCTGCGTCCGTGGTCCGTGGTCCGTCCGTCCGTAAACAATTCTTGTTACCGATATTTCTGGAAAAGTACTGGATGGATCTTTCCCAAATTTCATATGCAGGTTCCCCTTGGTCCCTAGTTGTGCATTGTACCTTTTTTGAACTGATTCGAATTCAAGATGGCCGACAGGTGGCCATCTTGGATTTTGGAAGTAAAAGTTTGTTACCGCTATTTCTGAGAAAGTACTGGATGGATCTTTCTCAAATTTCCTATGCAGTTTCCCCTTGGTCCCTACTTGTGCATTGTACCTTTTTTGGACTGATTCGAATTCAAGATGGCCGACAGGTGGCCATCTTGGATTTTGGATGTAAAACTTTGTTACCGCTATTTCTGGAAAAGTACTGGATGGATCTTTCTCAAATTTCATATGCAGGTTCCCTTTGGTACCTAGTTGTGCATTGTACCTTTTTTGGACTGATTTGAAATCAAGGTGGCCCACAGGCAGCCATCTTGGATGTCGACAGTAATACAGCACAAGCATGTTGTCCATTATCCACCTGTAACTGACTGCTATCTAATAATACTTTGGGATCTTTTTCAAATGATATTTGCTAATAGGTGCTTAATAAAAAATATCTTGTGCCATCATTGAATACATTCAATGAAGACCAGTTCATGAACATTTACAACACCTGTAACACACACAAAAAAAACAACAAATCATCAAGAACTGAAAACAGATCCTCAAATGGTGGGCGCCAAGATCCCTCTGGGATCTCTTGTTGAATATAGATATAGATTTGTACGATGTTTACCTATTGAAGTGATGAATTCCGTCCTCTTTACAATTGCTAAAATGTGCCATGAAGACACATACTTGAGTAGATAATATATTACTGCGGAGAATTAAGCGATAAAGAGGAAATGGAGAAAAACAACTTATATGGCATATAGAATGATCAGAGGAAACCCGAAAGACAATTTCAACACATCCATAGATGTCTACGTAAAACGTTATATCAGACATATAGAATGATCAGAGGATACCCGAAAGACAATTTCAACACATCCATAGATGTCTACGTAAAACGTTATATCAGACATATAGAATGATCAGAGGATACTCGAAAGACAATTTCAACACATCCATAGATGTCTACGTAAAACGTTATATCAGACATATAGAATGATCAGAGGATACCCGAAAGACAATTTCAACACATCCATAGATGTCTACCTAAAACGTTATATCAGACATATAGAATGATCAGAGGATACCCGAAAGACAATTTCAACACATCCATAGATGTCTACGTAAAATGTTATATCAGACATATAGAATGATCAGAGGATACCCGAAAGACAATTTCTACACATCCATAGATGTCTACGTAAAATGTTATATCAGACATATAGAATGATCAGAGGATACCCGAAAGACAATTTCAACACATCCATAGATGTCTACGTAAAATGTTATATCAGACATATAGAATGATCAGAGGATACCCGAAAGACAATTTCAACACATCAACTCTGCATATTACAACCCAATAGGTACCCACCTGAGATCTTATTGATATAAGACTGCATATCAAGTTTCATCACATTTTGTTCATTTTTACTCAAATTGTCGTGGTCCCAAGTCCAATGGTGAGTAAATTATAATAAAGATAATGCATCAACTGACTCAGAGTTTTGTTTTTGATTAAGACAATAGTTATATGAATTTAGATTTAGATATTTGGTTTGTTAACAGCTGCTATGTCATGTCTTCACTGCCTTTCTATATCTACATATCTTGACTCAGAAAAGGCTGATTTAAGCCTGACCCAATCGTACTAAAACATTACATTTGCTTTATCTCCTTTCGATTTTCTGATATTTTTATCACTTGTCAAAATCTTAAGATGACCACCATGCAAGTTTCTCTTTCTGAAAGTCAATATTAAATGTAATCATTTTATAATGGACCAAGTGTAGCAGACATATATATATCAAGTTAGGAAAATCTCTGCAGCACATTGAATAATTTTCAAATTAGCTGAAAAAGAAACTGATGTAGGGACCACAAGTAGATTTAACAGTCAATATGCAAGATGGATTTTGATCAACATCAGAATAAAAGAAGTACAGTTCTACTCATGAACAAGAGGCCCATGGGCCTTAACGGTCATCTGACAAAAAGCAAGCCAAACCTAGAAAGTGGGTTGAGGTCATTCATTTGAACAAACTTGGTAGCCTCTCCTCCAAGCATCTTACAGGCCCAATATCAGCACTCATGGACTTTTGCTTGTTGAGAAGAAGTCGTTTGTATATTTTAACATATTTGACCCCTGTGACCTTGAAAGTGGGTTGAGGTCATTCATTTGAATAAACTTGGTAGCCTTTCCTCCCAGCATGCTACAGACCCAATATCGGCACTCATAGACTTTTGCTTATTGAGATGAAGTCCTTTGTATATTTTAACATATTTGACCCCTGTGACCTTGAAAGTGGGCCAAGGTCATTCATTTGAACAAACTTTGTAGGGCTCCATGCCAGCATACTATGGGCCAAGTATTAGCCCCCTAGGCCTTCTAGTATTTGAGAAGAAGTTATTTAAAGATTTTGACATATTTGACCCCTGCGACCTTGAAAGTTGTTCAAGGTCATTCATTTAAATAAACTTGGTAACCTTTCCTCCCAGCATGCTACAGACCCAATATCGGCACTCATAGACTTTTGCTTATTGAGATGAAGTCCTTTGTATATTTTAACATATTTGACCCCTGTGACCTTGAAAGTGGGCCAAGGTCATTCATTTGAACAAACTTTGTAGGGCTCCATGCCAGCATGCTATGGGCCAAGTATTAGCCCCCTAGGCCTTCTAGTATTTGAGAAGAAGTTATTTAAAGATTTTGACATATTTGACCCCTGTGACCTTGAAAGTTGTTCAAGGTCATTCATTTAAACAAACTTGATAGCCCTTCATCCCAGCATGCCACAGGCACAATATCAGCAATCTGAGCCTTTTGGTTATTGAGAAGAAGTTGTTTAAAGATTTTGACATATTTGACCCCTGCGACCTTGAAAGTTGTTCAAGGTCATTCATTTAAATAAACTTGGTAGCCTTTCCTCCCAGCATGCTACAGACCCAATATCGGCACTCATAGACTTTTGCTTATTGAGATGAAGTCCTTTGTATATTTTAACATATTTGACCCCTGTAACCTTGAAAGTGGGCCAAGGTCATTCATTTGAACAAACTTTGTAGGGCTCCATGCCAGCATGCTATGGGCCAAGTATTAGCCCCCTAGGCCTTCTAGTATTTGAGAAGAAGTTATTTAAAGATTTTGACATATTTGACCCCTGTGACCTTGAAAGTTGTTCAAGGTCATTCATTTAAACAAACTTGATAGCCCTTCATCCCAGCATGCCACAGGCACAATATCAGCAATCTGAGCCTTTTGGTTATTGAGAAGAAGTTGTTTAAAGATTTTAACATATTTGACCCCTGTGACCTTTAAAGTGGTTCAAGGTCATTCATTTGAACAAACTTGGTAGTCCTTCATCCCAGCATGTCACAGGCCCAATATCTACACTCTGAGCCTTTTGGTTAATGAGAAGAAGTTGTTTAAAGATTTTAACATATTTGACCCCTGTGACCTTTAAAGTGGGTCGAGGTCATTCATTTAAACAAACTTGGTAGAGCTCCATGCCAGTATCCTCTGTGCCAAGTATTAGCCCCCTAGACCTTCTAGTATTTGAGAAGAAGTCGTTTGAATGAAAAGTTTACGGACGGCGCACGGCGGACGACGACGGACGAAGCATGATGACTATAGGTCATCGGACCCTTCGGGTCCAGATGACCTAAAAATGGGTCCGCTCAGTACTTCTGGAAAGATGCATGTAGTCATAACTAAGTTTAAGGACAAAATGAAGTATGACAGAGGATGCATCATTGATAGCAGACAATTTGAATGGAGCGATTCAAAAATAGAACAAAGAAAAATGTTTTAATGTTTAGTTTTCCTATATTCAACACTGTTTGATGAAAGCATTAAACATCTTTACATAAAAGTACTCATATTTACAATAAAAATGACAAATATACAATGATAAAAAATGCTTGTATCACATATTATAGCCATAATTCATCAATCATCAGGCATGTCCTCTGATATCAGGTAATGTCATCATTGTCACTTTCACTTTAGGAATCTCAAGTTACCGATACATGTACTACATGAAGTAACTATGTCCTGTGTTCTTACACACTCCATACAATTATGAGATCATGATAACTAAAACAACAACTTTACCCTCATACAATCTGCGCAGGAAGAACTACTATGGTACAAAAGATCTCCTAAAAATTGATACAAGGGAGTTAACTCTCGTACATTTCTCGCATCACAGACAATAAAATATTTATAGTTCTTAAATACAGTACACAGACTCTAGAATATTTTGTTTACAAATTTTCACTTTCATCAACTCTTAAATGAAGATTTGATGCTTTTCATTTCAAGCATACTCGTTAACTTTCAAATCACACACAACACTTGAAATTTTTAAGACCTGTTTACGTTCTCCCTCAAGTAAAACATCCAGTTAAAGCACTTATAACTTGCATTTTATTGGAAAAAATTTAAACATTTCATTGTACTCCGTATCCAGAATATTTACAAATATTATTTATGGTTTTATCCTACACAAATCTGATCTAAAATAAACAATTAAACAGAATCATCCGCAACATAAATCAAGGACTCCCTCCAACTTACACCCTCACACAGCTAGATATGTATATAACCATAAAGATGAAAGTTTGAAGAACACATCTACTGTAATGATGTAATCCCTACATCTTATTAAGCAACTTCCTATTTCCTAGCAACTAAGGAATCATGAAAAACAGGCTAATTGGAACACACTTCAAATGAATATGATACACCTACACTTTGATATAAAACCAACTTTGTGATCACAGCCGTGCACGGGCCATTTCACCTGGTATTTTTGTTCATCATTAACATATACAATGTGTTTCTGTCAGAACTATAATTTTTTACACATGAATTGATAAATATTTGAATATATTTGTGGAAAGATAATTGCTCACTATTTCATCCAGAAAAAATCTTTCGAGTAGAAAAGGATAAAAAAATTAGAGAACAATTTATTAACACACTAATTATTTCTTTTGTTCAAAACCAGATTCTTTCCTCAGAAATAGATGGAAGAGGAAGCTCAAATAAGGCAGTACTTCTGCATGATATTGGCTGGTGAAAAATTTCAACAATACTTTCTATTTTCATTGAACTGTTTGATTTCATTAATTTCTATGGAAATGCTTTGATATATGATAATGATCCAGAAAATATACAACAATGCTAAAAATGCAGATATCATATTTTTAGATTCAGTCAAGAATGAGATATGTTCTACTTTATCTACTTCCTCAATTGAATCATCTCAGCCAAAATTCTTTAAATCAAGTTTTCCTAGATTATTTTAATTAGTTGTGAATTTAAAACTCTGAAACAATTTTTTTAAGATTAATTATTCAATATGTTGATCTCTCATATTTTTCACTTTACAGTTATGAGTACAATATTTAGGTTTTCAAATTATTGACTTTCAATAAGTTTATATGCAGTAGAAACCAATATGTCATGATGGAATATGAGGTAGGATATAAAAGGGCCAAAGAACATTGTTTTAAGGAAAGTACTAAATATCTAAAAATATTAAAATGTTAAAAGTTTTAAAAATTGCTGTTGATGATGAAATTTGCACAAGACTCTCAGTGTACCTGCCATGCCTCAACCTTGGAAGACTGGAGATCTCTGGTTTGAATTATTTCACAAACTGAAGAAAAATTTGATTAATCTTGAACTTATCATCACATGATGCAATGTTATGTACTCAGTTTAAGAAATAAACACATTATCATAGTGCAAATGATTGATATTATTTTCAAAAGTTTGACAGATGTGGGAATGGGACTGTAAACTGGAAACTGAAGGCTACAACTTGAAACCTGACCGATAAAGAGAGTTTAGACAGACAGGGACAGATAGACTAATCATAATATATCTGTGTTAAATTTTACACTAAAAACTTAAAACTATTGTAAAACAAGCAGTTAAAAGATAATTATGAGGAATTTACATGTGAAAGCATTTTTGAAGTGATTGCATAAAGAAAAAAATTCTTTGAATTGTGCTGTTTTTAATTGTACTCATAAGAATAAAACTTACTACTCACTGAATTCTCTGATCAAATTAAAACACATTAAAATCATCTGATAACACTTATCATTCTATTTAACATGTTCCTACTGACATTTCGCTAATCTTCCTATAGTGGCTGTACTTTTGATAATAAAAATAAACATGGTTAGTATACCTGTTCTGATTAAAACAAAATGAAACAACATACATAGTTAAAAATGGCAATAACACATACTTCCAATTATATATATTACAATTAATTTGTCAAATTAAGTGATTGTGTATATAAATTAAGATCATCCACAATGGATTTGTAAATAATTTGATTTATGGAGAATAATTGCACATCCATACAAAATGTTCCTTTGATTTGTTATGGTACAGCTATTCATACTGTATTAAAATATTCATAACAGCATATAAATATTCATATCTATGTTAAAATATTCATAACTACATATAAATATTCATAACTGTATTTAAATTTATTCATAAAATACAATTTACATGAATTCAAAAAGTTAATTGAATTTCTGTGATTTAATTGTTCTTGTCAATATATACTGAATATTAAATTCTTTCATGAAGCTGGTCATGGATAAAATTTGAGCAAATGCAGTTTCAAAAAGTACATTTAAAAGTCTGTAAAATTTCAAGTGAATTGATCATTTTCATCAGATACGTATGTAGTTTTGATTACAACTAATTTAGATAGATTTTAAAAGTTTAACAAGTGAGTTTCATTACTCGTATTACACATTTGAATTGAAAACAAATAAATAATAGAGAAAAATTTCCCATCAATCTCTCTATATACTCCAGAATCTATTTTTCTTTCACAAATATAAACAGATATCATGAGATTGCTGACTTTATCACATTTCAATATGTAACAATGAGTTTTGTTTCTAAATACATACGTATATGTTATATAAGCATTTGATGAAAATACTGGTTCCTAAATATATGTATATATTATGCAAATAAATAATTTTACTCCAACAAATACTGTTCACTGTAAGATATACGGTCATTATGCTAATAGATGTACCCTTGTGATTTATCAATTTAGAAAAAAAATCTTTAAAAAAATTTCATCTTAACTGTTTAAAACAAATTATCAGTACTTTAAAAACAAATAAGCATGACCAGTTACCATTGATGCATGCACAACTAAAATTCTAAAAGACATTACAAATGTCAGGTCTATACGTAAATAGACAACCCTACAATACTCCTGACATGTACAAATCGCTGTGCCAGTCCTATCAACAGGAAGAATGCTTCTTCACATCCAAAATCTCATATGATGATCCTTGCATGTCTCAATTCAAATAAGTTTATTCACACAAAAATTGCACTTTTCCACTGGGTATTAATAACTAGGAATTAGAAATTTGTGAAAATCTAAAATATTCTAAATGAATGCTAGGAATTTGTTTTCACTTTCTCAACTTCAAATACTGATTGTAAAGAATTGTGCTGAAAGTTCATTGGGGCTGAGATTTTCCTTTTGGAGGTTTCCTCTTCAAAGGAGAAATTTTTCATGTCTTCTCTGACTTTCCTTCCGAAAGCTCTGCCCAGAGATCCCTGTTAACAGAAATACTTCAATCATTACAATACTGTTTTCCTGTCATGCTTTATGGCCCAGTTATATAGACCTAGTAATGAATTCTAACCCTTTGAAAAGATACAATGAAATATATACATTGTACCAGGTGATAATACCCAGTCAGAGAGTAAAACCTACGACATTGTCCAACAAAAAATGAAACCAATTCATGTCTATATATGAAATGAAATCTTAAAATTCAAGAAATCAAAAAAACATCTTTAATTAGCAAATCAGTACCCTTTTTTGGTTTTTTATACCATTCATGTTCTGGTATTTTTTAAATGAAGTTTCTGACACTGGTTCCCAACTCTTTTGTATAATATGGCTTTACCTGGGAGTCTAAAAATGTCTCCTAGATACACCAACAAGGTAATTCATATGTAAATATTTCTAAACTGTGATAATTCATATGTTAATATTTCTAAATTGTGACACCACCAAACCTACAATACTGATTAACAGGCATATCATAACAAATAATAGTGTTTAGATCAAAAGAGTTACTCCCCTTTTCATAAAATGTTGAAACATTCAAACTGCTTCAATTTTTTTTGGATTCCTAATTTTTCTTTCAATAACAATGATGAAGTGAGAAAGAATTGTATTGAATACATATCTAATGACCATATACCGACATTTAATGCTACCTACGCAGTACTTTTTAAAAAATACCTGCAACAAATTATGTTTTCTTTGTACATACAGACAGGCGGACAGACACTATATTTATTGACAGACAAGACACACAGAATTCAGTATAAATATATATTCATTTCTAACACTGTCACTAAATGAAAAAAAAAAGAGTCAAAAAGGCATTTTTTAAAATCCTATTGATGTACATAGTTACATGCTTTAATCTGATGAGATTTTCTCGAAATTTTCTGTTATTGCAAGCATTTGTTATCTATCACTAGTATATACAAATATACATATCATGTGCAGATTATACACACACAACACATGCAGACTATAAACAAGCCCAGTTATATCACTATCTGGTGGTTCTCTGATCTAAAAAACTTGTGACAAATTTTAAATAAACAATAGCAATGATACAAAGTGTTTCTAGCCTACACCAAATTGGAAATGGAAGATTTGCTAATGAATTCATTTGATTATGATTGCCTCTCTGTAAGCGAATATTAACTGAACAATTCTATGGTGAAATTAAATACAACATATATATGTATCTTAGATATAAAAAGGTTAACGAGATCTCATTGGAAATGATTGCCTGAGTGGCCAATCAAAATCCATAATTCACACATTTTCTGAAAAATGTCATTTTAGCAGTTATTACTTTCAGCAAATAATTCCTGCAGTTTAATATTGAAGGAAATAGGAAATCATATTTTAGTAAAGTCAGGGGAGATAATCACAGCTACTCATTACATACATAGGGTGCAGTGGCTATCACAGTTGCATGTATAAATCCATTATATTCCTAATACCAATAAATTTTGATAGGAGTATATATGAGTATTTAATCAAGATGTATATATTTGTATATGTATGATATTTCCTATGGAATACACACGGCAAATACAATATAGATTTAGATATATTGCTATATCCCTGACCTATAACGCTCAGTGAGGTGTAGAGTGCAATTGGTGGAAGGAAACTAGATTTTAAGATATTAGAAAAGCCAAAAGTAAATACCACATGAGTAAACTGGTTGTCAAAATTGTAATAAAAATAAATAAATTTTATAGCTGTGAAAGAATGAAACAAAACAATACTATTAAAGCAAATCTGATTGTAAGACAATTTTATAACACTAAGTTTATCTGTCATTTGGACACAGATCCATTCCAAGATGACTTTATGAAATATCAGTGTGAAGTGGGACAATAATCAACATCAAATTTGTCATTATTTTCACACTGATTGCACTGATCGGCTATTAAAACTGAGGATGATCAAAACCTTTTTGTAATAAAGCATTTATTTCAAAAGACTGATGCACATTCTTACTTTCTCAAATTTGTTAACAGAAATTTCAAAAACACTAAAAATTTCTAAAAAGGCAACATATTGTTATAAATGATAAACTTTTTTTCCAGGTAAATCGAAAATATGACAGGTACAAAAGCAAGTTGTTCAAATTCATCGATCAGCCAATTATTTTGTCTTATAAGGTGCACCACCATTTATATCAGTACACTATAAGTATTTAAGTAGTAGGGTATGTACTAGGGTATATACCAGACAATATGACAGTTTTGGCAGAATTAACATACAATGTACAGATGTATACTGTTGATAGATTGTGAGTCAATTCTCTGATACAGCAGAAACATAGCCAGTCCACTAAATCATCACATTTATGAAGTATTCATAACCATCTTTTCTCTCCCTACCTCTTTACTCATCCTACCCAAACAAATAGCATTTTTACAATTTTTTCAAGAATTATTCAAACTCTACCACAAGCCAAAAAACAAAGCCCCCCCAAAAAAACCAAAATAGAAACAAATCCTTATGAATTTCATACACCTCACTGAAAATTATTGGTGACGGGATCTGCCAGGCTGAAGAAAAAAGCTTGGATACAATATGTACAAAGCTGTATATAGGCAAGTATACGGTATGCCTTCCCTTACCCGGAAGCTAAGCTTCGTTTTTGGCCCCGTAGTTTCCGTAATGGAAGAGCTCCTATAGGCTCTAGTAAGTGTGGAGTTCCGTGTCAGGGTTTTGTTGTTGTTACCATTTACAACATTAATGGAATTTCTGGAATAAATCAGGGTTGTGAAAGTGTTAGTCCATAGGTCAAGGTCACTCAAACAACAGTTCATGGTCAAATATGGTAAGACACAAATTATCAACAAAAGTTCAAATAAAACGACTTAGGCAACAATCAAGAGTGTACATCACTTGTAATGTAATTTGGCTCATCCTTGTACTTATAAAATTAAAATTACACTCTTAAACATTATAAGTAATTAAGTTGAAATCCTTTGGTAGTTGAAAATGTATTTTTGGCTCAGAATTCAGTGAAAGACACATGTACGTGTCTAGGTGAGATATTTTTCATTATGATAAAAGCAGCAATCTTGTTGCCAGAAGTAATCCAGGAATAGCTTTGCACACAAAACAAGTGATGTACACTACAATTTCCTATGACATCATGCACATTTTCATTCTTTAGTAATGGTGTTGTTGTCATGGTTACAAATACAAACACACTTGAACATGCATTTTTTCAATATTGAAATATTTTTTTCTCATTAAAACAATTAAAGATTTATATTTTGCTGGTTAATGAGACTGACCTGATAATTCTTATGATAGTCTGTTAAAGTTTAAATCTTTGAATTAGTAATATAAATCAGTTTAGCTTTTGGATGAATATAAACGGACAAGTTCATGCATTCAATTTCAAAGTCATTCCATAAGTATATCACTTTTTAGCTCTCTTTGCAAAACAAGGGCAAAAAATTCAGATTTTCTTTTTTTTCTGAAAATCTCCAAAAGTTGCATGCACCAAGAGTGACCTAGTCATGACAGAAAAAACTTTATCTCCCTAAATCACAAGGCAGCTTATATCTAAACTAATTATACTTTGTATAAATAATTCCTTAACGTATTGTGAAAAAAAAATCAGATTTACAATCACACTTTCAGCATAAGAATGTAAAGATGTTTAAATACTTGTAATTGTGATGTATCACACAAGCAATAGCTACTTAGCACATACAATGCATAGATGCTAGTCCTCCATTCATATCATTGATTTTTATAATACACCAAATACTTTATATAAAACTGACAATTGATAAAATATTTGTATTCAATAAAAGTTAGAAAACACATGAAGTACAGTGACCTGGTATCAATAAACTCAGGTGTACAATCTTTTAATCCCTAACCAACAAAAGTGGAGGTTTTCGTATCTTACAATATACATGGTACATCTTAAAAGAGCAATTCTGTCAGATTTAGCACTAACAAAGTAAACCTCAGTAACGCATGAATCGTCACTGATTTGTATCAGCATTTCAATATTCCATCTTTCTCAATAAAAATGAATCTTAAAAAATCTTTCGTGACATACCTGGCTGGTTTGACTAGAGATTCAAGTTCTGTCTTGAGATGTCGCCGGATATAGGACTTGGAAGGTGGTATACCTAGGGCTGTGGCAAGGGTGTCCGATGTAAACTGAGGTTCCAGTACCATCAGGGCCCCATGAACGCCACTCTCCTTCAGATTTTTAGCATATTCCTGCAAAATACAAACAATGAAAATGGTCCTTTATCTCTTGTTTTATGTTCTGATGCCATTTTGGATAACAAGTGTCTAGTAGAAAGGAGTTATTGTGATAGTAAATATGTTTAGTCAGGGAGAGGCAACATGTAGGATCAGGGGAAGGGCAGCATGTGGGGTCAGGGTTAGGGTGACCTTAGGGGTCAGGTGAATAGTGAAATGTAGGGGTCAGGGTCAGAGTGACACGTATGATCAAAGCGAGTAACCTGTGGGGTCAGTGGGAGGGTGACCTGTGAGGTCTGAGGAATGATTAGTAGAGAGTAGGGGTGTGGAGTCGAGTTGAGGTGTGAAGTAGAGGGTGGGATGTGAAGTAGACGGTAGGGTGTGGAGCAGAGGAGAGGGTTGTGAGGTGGAATGGTGGAGTAAGGTGAGGGTTGTGGAGTAGAGGGCAAAGTTGTGGAATAGAAGGAGATGTTGTGGAATAGGGTTAGGGTTGAGATACTGTGGCTAGAAGGTGGGGTGTGGAGTAATGGGTCAGGTTGTGGAGCAGGGGTGGAATTGTGATGGAAGGGTGATGTGTGGTACATGTAACCACAATTGAGTGACAGCAATACCTCCAAATCTATGTTCTGGATCCACTTAATGACTCTTTGATTGGTCCACACCAGTGGGTCTGTTTCTGTGCTGTCACACTTTGATCGCCGATCAGCCAGTATCTACAAAAAACATATAGGAGATGAACTGATTAGAACTTTATCTATTCACACTTCAGTAATACAGACAGGAAACTTTACCATTAGAAATCATTGTGTAAGGATCAATTTGGATTCCTTCATCCAGGAAATCAACGCCAATCTTAATTGCTTGTACATAGTACTTGTAGTTTCAGAATCTATCAAACTAATTTAATGTACAATATCTTTTTTAATGCAACATATTTCAAACGACAGAGACCGTTCAGTTCTTTTTACAATTTCAGCAGAAATCAAAACTAAAGTAATCACATGATTTAAGAAAAAAAATTATAAATACCTGCACATTATTTGCATTTATGGCAAATGTGCTCCAAAACATTTAACGTAAAAACTTTAGCCCCAACATTTATACAAAATTGATTTCCCGTCACCAAACCATGCTTCAGACCAATTTTGGACAATATCCTGCAATTCCTAAAGAACAAGATAGATTTTAAAGAAATTGATAGAGTTTTCCTATTCAGATCCTGGGGGGAAGGTGCAGACCAACATATTTACACTATTTTTTTCCACTTTGCCACAGGATGCTTCAGACCAAATTTGATTAAAATCCACTCTGTTGTTCATGAATAGTTGCAATATATTGTTGTCAGACAGCGGATGATGGACACCACAATATACCTTTTGTTCCAGGTGAGCTAAAAACTTAAGAGTATCCTATACATACCTCTTTGTCGAAATTGAGTCTGCGCAGTAATTCAACGCCATGAAATATGCTGGCCTGGTGGAATTTTCGATGTATACCCAAGTGTTTTTCCATCTCTTTCTTTGAGAGGATGTTGAGCATGCGTCCATCGATAAGATTGGTCTCTGATGACTGTATATACTGTGGCAGACCCAGGTCAGCCATCCAGCGATGCGCTACCCACGTATGGTCAAGCAAGGAGGATTTGGGGAATGCTCTAAAGAGATAAATGATTTGTTCTAATTTTGAAAAAAATTCATACATATATTATATTGTTATAATTGTTTAAAAAAGAAAGTAGCTGAATAAAGATGGGTATGATATAATGTGTAAACTGATTTAGTCCTGCTTTCCTCTGGATTCCTCACTCAAGGTTAGAAAATATGATAGTCAGATATCTCTGATTTAGGTTTCATTTCAAATACTTAAGTGCCAAATTGTCAACCATTATTGTAGGAGCCAAAACAAGAAATAACAAAAATTTTTTTCTCATAGTTTCTGTGAATTTCAAATGATATCTGAACCATGTACTTCCATTGCATACATATTTAATAATTCAACATAAAATCAAGGTACATAGGTTTCCAATAAACATACATATCTGCTGGATTTCGGGCCTCTTCTATCGCAATCCGAATCTTCTTTCTGTGCATGGGGTTGGAAATTGCGAGTGCTGATCCAAGTTCTGAATCACTAAGACCTAACAGGACTTTTCCACTCTTAATGTTAGCTGTACACATTTTACCATACATTGGCATATTGAGAACAATCTCTAGCCATGCTAACACCTGATTGGCTTTCCATAAAGTCATGTGACAACCTTTAGACTGCTCAACGATCTGCAGTTTTTCTTGATAGTTGTCAGGGTTTAATAATGTTAATCTTGAGTTGGGTGGAATGTCTGGAAAAAAAAAATATAAAAATCTTGTTTAGTAAAACAGAATTCTTCAAAGACAGCATAAAATATGATTGTTATTATGTTATCCATATTGCTCAAAACAATTTAATGGTTCACTCGTCTTAATTCTAAAATATGAATTTTTAAGTTTGAGTTGCTTCCCTTTGACCAATCACTTAACATAGTTTACTGGTCTAGCTGTGCAAATAGTGCTCTAATACTTTTATTCTAAATTATTTTTTTTTAACAGCTATCACACTCTATAGATGTTATAAACTATGTCTTTGTCAATATAACAACAACTTCAGAAAAAAGCCCTGAAACTACTACCATGATTAAAAATTAACATGAAGGCTGGGAACATTTTACCAAAGTCTTTCTTTAGAAAATGTCTGCATAATATAACCATAGAGCAAAATATAGAAAAATCATTAAATGATCTTCATACCATCCAAGTCAGTGTCTGCAGGAAGAGCTATCGAGCGCCGGACCCGACCCCGTGAGAATACTCGGGATATGGAATTGAGGCTTATCCTTTTCTTCTTTTTTGGGTCTGCAGGACTGTCTGTTGCATCTTGACTAGAAGGACTGAAATCGGAGCTATCCAACAATGGCGTAAGGGAATTGCTTCTTTCCCTCGTCTTGTTGTTAGGCGTAATGGGCAGTGCTGAAATTTTGAAGTTCATTCTATATACAAAAGCACTGTTTCAAAATTATTGTGAAGATCCTGTAGAAACGATGAGATCAAAAGAATATTGTTCTTGCATCCTGAATGTTATTCATAGCACTATTGGACTTTATACCATAATCAAGTATGGTGTTCTTTTGGTTGATCACCCAATGAACTGCCAGGGTCTCCTTGTAGTAGCTGGCGGATACATCACTGAATAGCATATGGGAGGTCCATCACATGCCATACAGAGGTATGAGTACTGGGAATGCTGAACCACATACCTCAGATCTCCACCCGAGATTACATAGATCAATGTTCTACCAACTGAGCTTTATCTGCTTCCCTATCCTGATGACACTTTGGAGTAATTCAAATAAATTTTAAAACATGTCTATATATATATATCCATTATCAAATACCAAGTTATATTTTGTCCCTAGTCCATTCCAGATTGGCCTAAGTCTGGCTGACTCTAACAATGTTTGACACTGTATGGACACAGCCTAAGCCTACAAACACACACATTCAGCTCCTCTAAAGACCCATAAAGGTTACATGCCCCCATCCCCTCCTTACAAGACCCATAAATACAAGGATAAAGGCCACACCTATCCCTTTTCTATCAAAACTCAGAGGGCCCCCCTACTAAATGATTTTTTAGACGCAGGAGAGGTAAAGCCCCCCCCTCCCCCCAACACCCACCAAACCAACCATCAATCAACCCATACACCCACCAACACACCCACCAAACCAACCATCAATCAACCCATACACCAACCAACACACCCACCAAACCATCCATCAATCAACCCATACACCCACCAACACACCCACCAAACCAACCATCAATCAACCCATCCATCCACCAACACACCCACCAAACCAACCATCAATCAACCCATCCACCCACCAACACACCCACCAAACCAACCATCAATCAACCCATACACCCACCAACACACCCACCAAACCAACCATCAATCAACCCATCCATCCACCAACACACCCACCAAACTAACCATCAATCAACCCATCCATCCACCAACACACCCACCAAACCATCCATCCACCAACACACCCACCAAACCAACCATCAAACAACCCAAACACCCACCAACACACCCACCAAACCAACCATCAACAACATACACCCACCAACACACCCACCAAACCAACCATCAATCAACCCATCCATCCACCAACACACCCACCAAACCAACCATCAATCAACCCATCCATCCACCAACACACCCACCAAACCAACCATCAATCAACCCATACACCCACCAACACACCCACCAAACCAACCATCAATCAACCCATCCATCCACCAACACACCCACCAAACCAACCATCAATCAACCCATCCACCCACCAACACACCCACCAAACCATCCATCAATCAACCCATCCATCCACCAACACACCCCCCAAACCAACCATCAATCACCCCAACCCATCTATCCACCCTTCCAACTGTTTTACATCCAACTTAGAAATGAAATCACTATCATCTAAGTATATAGTAGGTATCCACAGACCATTTTAATCTCGTGCTTCAATACTGTACATGTCCTTCAAATCTAAAAACAGAATTATGAATGTACACAATATGGAAAGGACTATAATACATACCTTCCATGCTACTATTTTTGGAATTGAAGTTTGTTGATGGAGGCGGTGTTTCATAGGGCGGTAATTCTTCACTGTTTGTCGTTGTTCCGCCAACACTGTTAGGGGAGTGGTTCATACTGCTGCGAAGCTTCTGACCACATACTTGCTGCTCCTTTGCCTGAGGAGTTCAAGGTCAGAGTAAAGGTCAAAACTGAAGGTCAAGTAAGGTTAATAATGGAGATTACCATGTTCTTTGTCACTGTTGTCAAATGACATGGTTCAAATTTATGATTAAAACATTTTATATGAAAAAGGAATTTCTTTGGGCTGTTCAGTTGAAGCCAAACACATGCTTTAAAGTACATCAAAAGTGTCAGTGTACTGTCCCCTTGTAGGGGGTCACACCTTAGTCTACAGAGGCTTTGTAGGTGTGATTTATCAGATGTAGGTAAAGAACACATACCATGCTTCTCATTAATTTTTTACACTAATATTTCACTAGTTAAACTATTTGAATTTGTTTATAATTAAGTATGCATAAAATCTTTTTAGAGTCAAATTACACAGGGTTGTTAAATATCAATACTAAATTATACTATTTATCATCTTTCAAATGGTTTAGTGATAAAAAAGTCCACATTTCTGTGTGTAACAGAGTAATGTTCACTTAGATTATGATATACAATAAAGTTGTACCAACACATCTGCACATGAAATGATAAGTACAGTGTATTTTGGAACTTTTTTTTCAGATTGGTATTGTCAATAGACTAAAAGTTCTTATATCACGACTAGAAGAAGATTAGAGCGTGACGTTGAAATGACTAGTGTCGAGCATTCTAGCACTGATGTACATAGTGTAATAAATGGTCAGGAATCTATCTTTTTTGGTTGTAATACACTAAGGTCAAAAACAGATTATAGACCAAAAAACGCACAAGATGGTAATAATGTACTGTTGTCAATTTGGTTATGATAAGTAATTAATTGAAAACAAAGATACTTTAATTCACAAGAGAAAAAAATACAGATATTGTCCACTAACCTCCACTAATTCTACTTCCAGCTTCTTTATTTGTGCGTCTTTTGTCTCCAGTTGTGTCCTGAGTATGAAGGTACGTTCCTGTCCGTCTCGGACCTGTTTCATCAGATCCCAGCGTTCATGTTCACAATCCTCCCGCTCTGTGGCAAGCTACAACCCAACATCCGATAATACTCTTTAATATACATCCAGAAAAACAGGCTTTGTTAATCAACATTTGAGAATTTTGAGAAAAAAAAAAAAAAAGAAAATTAAAACAATAATTTCATCTTTCTCCTGACACTGCTGTTTCAATATCCTAAGTTCTGCAGCCAATATCATAATGCTGTGACATTTTACACAGCTTGCCATGTCATCACAGAATATAATCACTCACAACTAACTAAATGCATGTCTGTGACAATACATCGTGGAAGACAATTATAAGTATTTTTTCCCCTGACTGACAGTCCTTTTGATACAACATTCACATCCAGGCAAGTTTGAACAATGTAATTTTACCAAACCATTCTATTCAATGCTTCGATGTTTGGTTTCATTTAAAACTCATTCCTAGACAGCAAATACATCCCCAGTGAATGATGAAGCCAGCACATACTTTAAAATATGTGTTAATTGTCTAAAATATCACATACACAGCAAATCAGGCACAAAAACTTGTCAACATAACGATTTCAGCTCATTCTTGTAGGTGGATCTCAAAAATACTGCTTCATTTTTTTCATGTATGTAGGTTTCATTGACAGAGCGTGTGTGGGCTATATTACGTGCCATGTAGGAGTTTAAGATTAATTTCCTTTGATCCTGGTATGTAATTAGGGTGTGGCTAGATCAGACAGCTTACAGAATATTGCACAGAATACTGTGATCTTGAACTTTGAACAGTTTATGCAGATGTTGTTTAAAATCATTTGATTTCAAATCAATATCATATGCTAAAAGGGGAAGTTCATAAATATCTATTGAAATAGAATATTCTATTTATCAGGAACGCAGATATAAATGTAAAATTAACCGAAATATAGATTTGAGACAAATTACTAGGAAGCAGCCAGGTACATGTGTCCTTGAATAACAGCCCCACCCGCCTCATACACACACACTCCTCCCTCCATCCAAGCATCTCTGATTGAGAGGGATATTCTTTGTGATGAAGCCCAGAGTCCGGAGGGTTAAACATACATTTTGCAGAGTTATAAGTCCATGACCCATATGATGTCTGGTCACAGTACAATAGATCTCGCATATCTATAGTACACACCTTTTTGTCAACTGTTTTCAATTCTGCGATCTACTTTATATTCTTACCTGTTTGATGGTTTCATCACTTTCCCTCATACGAGTCTCATAGTTGCGTATAAAGTCTCTGAGCTCTGTTTCCTTATCCTCTAGAGTTGTATATAACTGACGCATTTGGTTCAGAAGTTCCAGCTTTTCTGCCTTCAGACGCTTTCGATCACCCTTCATTGCTACAAAAGTAAAAACAATCATTTGTTTGTTTGTCGGTTCATAACAGCAAGAAACATCTCGATAATATGTTAGGTGATTAAGTTATAAATACAATATACAGTTAAATATATTCCATCTTTCTTGGGAGCAAGTAATAAAATATGTTTTGTCAGTTATCAAAATCTCTATAAAACCAGATTAAATTTAAGTGTGTTTTCACTGGTATATAATACCCATATTTGTAAATATACCGTGTTTATCCTATCACAATCAAAAGGACCCAAGGACCTCGGAAAAAAAGACAGAGGATGAGTGCGTTGTAAGACAATGTATTGAAGAACAACAGCTAGTGATTGGGGCCATGGTCATCATTAGGTATGGGGTTATATTGATAAAGTAGTACAATAAACATGGAACCATCAATCAAATCCGAGTGATCTCATAGGTTTATTGCAATTTGAATATGATTGATATATTTGTTAGGTTTATTGCCTTGTGATCAGCCACGGTCATTTGAAGGCGGAGTCTTCTCAAAACAGCTAGTGACTACCTCAGTGAACAACATACAGGAGACCCGTCGCATGCCATCCACAGCAATGACAGGGTGAAGTGTCTAGCCCAATGACATTACCATGTCAGCACAGACTGGTCTGTTTCTCAGCTTCCAGTGAAACACTAACTACAATGGTGGGGTGTGTCAAGTCACAAGATATTTTTTAAATTTCTTAAGATTTTTAAAAATTTTTAAAGATAGTTTGAATGTTCCTATGGTGTATTTGCATCATGATGTCAATAAAGGAAATTTCTAGATAGATTATCCAAAGGAAACCTGTATTCTGATGTATTTTGGTACTTCAAGTCAAGGTCAAAGTCCAAATCAAAATAAAGTGGATTTTTACAAAATGTGTCGTTCAGTCATATAACAATTTCAAAGGTATTTTTATGCTTTGGAAACCTAAGTATTAAGTTCAGGGTCAAAAGGTCAAGAGAAAATTGTGGGAAATTATTCAGTACGAGAATGATGATCATATTTACTTTCAGATGAACAGACTGATGGCTAAACACAATATCACGTGTTTCAGTTTAAAGTAGAAATCGTCCATCTCAGATTACCTTTCTGTTTTTTTTTTTTTTTTGGAAGATTTCAATCTTTTTGGAAGATTTCAATATCTTTTTGGAAGATTTCAATATCATCTAAATTTTTTCATTACATATGTAAATCTGGAATAATTTACAGAAAATCAGAGCTCAAACTAAAAACGAAGTAGGTACATTTAATTTTAGATGTGTGGTCAATAAAAACAATTTTTTATCTTTTTTATCTATTACACACTCAGCTCTCTACACACATCTTTTATATCACAGATTGAGGTTTGTTGTGTTGATCATCTGCCCTCTATATTCCAGAATCATGCCAACATGCCAACACTGTGACCTTCTGTGACCTGAACGTATCATTTACAAACTTCACACATTTTCCAAAACATTACAAACAAACCTGATCTGTAAAAAAATATTTTATCTACATCCCAACTTTGATGTATTTAACAACTGCTATACAAACAGATATTTGTAAAATTGTAACATAGTTTACTTCATCATATCGAAAACCATTACATGTTGTATAGGTGATATACAGCACATAGTAATAGGAAGCACAAATTGCTGGATTTATTAATTTATCTAACATGTTGACATACAAACACTCTAGTTCCCATTTCAAAATGAATTTTTACACTTGTTTTGAGGTTTTTTTCCCCCCCTACATGTCAGTTAAGTTTCAAGAAGTTTTTGTCATCACATCATTTCTTGTGCAAAACAACAAGGTGTTACAGAAGATATAGAATGACACAAATTTTATCTTTTTCATTTTAATGTCTTCACGCTAGGGAGTATAAAATAGAGTTCTGCTGATGAATAATATCTCAACACATGTTCACTATAATGTAAAGAAAGCAGGATTTGTTACAGCAACCCACAGTGGTGAGAAATGTTATAGGTTTTGGTGGACGTGCGTGGAATCTTTCAGAAACTATAAGGTTATTCTCTGCATCAATTCCTACTAAACTATAACATATAGGTACTCCTTCCCACCCCCTGCCATTTCTCTGTGCTCAAAGACGATGTGTGTATATTATAGGATTACTGCCTAGTAAAAAATTATTATTATTTTTATTCTGATCAACCTACAACGAGCCCCTGTCTGAGGATAAGTACAGTCACATCTATTGTTGTCCAGCAGAAGTCACAAAATGACACTTCATTGTCCTGTGATCAACCTAACCCCTAATTCTGTAAATGTGTATGGTCCTTGAGCTGATTTCAAATCATTCAAAAAAATATTTTTAACTAAAATATTTACAACTTGCCAAAAAAATTAAATTCCTTACGGGGTAGGGGAGAACCAACATCCTGAATGTCTTTGGTCTTTGTCTGGACGTTGTGAAAATAATTTACCACGAAGAAACCGCGTATTAATTCTGTGAAAGTTCTTTTGCATTCAAATTGAAATCCATCAAACTTAGCTAACAGTGATGTCAAGTAAAATGATAAAGACAAGGTTTTACAATCCTGAAACAATTCTGAACCTTAAGAGACATATAATTCAGGGACTCCGTAAATGATGACAAATGTCTGCCAGATATAACGCCATATTGGTAAAATAAGCTTTACTAAAAATACCATCCCAGTAACACAATAACATCAAAAGCTTTACTAAAAATACCATCCCAGTAACACAATAACATCAAAAGCTTTACTAAAAATACCATCCCAGTTACACAATAACATCAAAAGCTTTACTGAAAATACCATCCTAGTTACACAATAACATCAAAAGCTTTACTGAAAATACCATCCTAGTTACACAATGACATCAAAAGCTTTACTAAAAATACCATCCCAGTAACACAATAACATCAAAAGCTTTACTAAAAATACCATCCCAGTAACACAATAACATCAAAAGCTTTACTAAAAATACCATCCCAGTAACACAATAACATCAAAAGCTTTACTGAAAATACCATCCCAGTTACACAATAACATCAAAAGCTTTACTAAAAATACCATCCCAGTTACACAATGACATCAAAAGCTTTACTAAAAATACCATTCCAGTTACACAATAACATCAAAAGCTTTACTAAAAATACCATCCCAGTTACACAATGACATCAAAAGCTTTACTGAAAATACCATCCCAGTTACACAATGACATCAAAAGCTTTACTAAAAATACCATCCCAGTAACACAATAACATCAAAAGCTTTACTAAAAATACCACCCCAGTTACACAATAACATCAAAAGCTTTACTAAAAATACCATCCCAGTTACACAATAACATCAAAAGCTTTACTAAAAATACCATCCCAGTTACACAATAACATCAAAAGCTTTACTAAAAATACCATCCCAGTTACACAATAACATCAAAAGCTTTACTAAAAATACCATCCCAGTTACACAATAACATCAAAAGCTTTACTAAAAATACCATCCCAGTAACACAATAACATCAAAAGCTTTACTAAAAATACCATCCCAGTAACACAATAACATCAAAAGCTTTACTAAAAATACCATCCCAGTTACACAATAACATCAAAAGCTTTACTAAAAATACCATCCCAGTAACACAATAACATCAAAAGCTTTACTAAAAATACCATCCCAGTTACACAATAACATCAACCTACAAGAAAACTTTTAAAATATTTCCTTAACTTGCTGATTTTGTCATACAGATGGAGTTTTATCATATATGCATGCTTCGTATTTGATGTCGTCAGTTAGAAAACAAAATATACAAGTAATTAAATTAAGTCTAATCAGTCTTTGATACAGCTTTGATCCAATGTTTGCTTGGTGATATATTTTTTTTTAAATTGATATCTGTGACCTCACTTTGACCTTTATTATAAGATGTTTCATACCTTGCAATGCCTCTTTGGCTCGGTTGAGCTCCTGTTTGGTCTGAATAAGGTCAAGCTTCATTTCTCCAATCTTTGTGGTTTCCGTAGCGATGTCCTTGAGGTCATCTTGTTCCAGTGTTGCCAGGCGTGACTCCAGACGGGAGTTCTCTTCCCTTAATTGTTTCAGCTCATTTTCCTCATCAGCTTTGTGGCGTGGCGTATCTACAAACAAACAATAATCCACTTTTTACAATTATGTATTTCATAATAACCCTGTCTAACTTGCAGTCTGGTACTCTTATATCAACACAGAAGGTAACGATTGATGTCACACAAATCTGTTTAAAAATTACCTCCCTTTAAAGCATAACAAACCAGAATACTTGACCCAAACCACATAGTTTGAAGATGAAGTGAGTTCATTAATACAATGAAGTCACACTTTAGGTCAAAAAGACACGACACAACAAATTATATTTAGAAGTTATCTTTGTAATTTGTAATTATTTGAAATTCAATAGTTTATCCATTCTTAAATTGCTCATCTAACCTTTAAAATCATACAGAGATCACACAACACATACATCTTCAATTTGCTTCAGAGTTAATTCCCTTTGAAAAAATATTCCCCCCAGTAATTCATAGTGCATGGTTCATGCTGTCTTTTTGCTGTCAAATTTAAAGAATATTCAAATAAAGTGATCTTGACACTCGTTTTCAGTACATGAGATGAGGTGAATTGAATTTTTCCTGACATGTATTTACAGTTCTCTTGAATCCTTGAGAGATTTGTTTTATACAAATATATAATGAAAAGTATCAAGAATAATAATAGAAATATGATATCAAACTTAAAGATTTTCCAGGCGTGACACTTACCAGACTCGTCCAGGCAAGGATTGAAATGAGCCATGTCCAGAACTCATTCCAAATTTACCAAAACCAAACCAGTTTGACAAAGACTAGATAGTTTGAAGTCTAAGGTCTCAAACATATCAAGATCATATATATAGATCATATAAGACAGGGTAGGGATGAGGAACGTATTGACTGGACTGGATATTTTAATACTCAGCAGGGTTCTGTGTGGCAGCTTATCCTACTGATGCTGCTGTAGATGTTACTAGCTGGCTCTGATACCAACTGGCCATCTATCATGCCAGTTCATCACTCTAACGTTATCATAAAACAGCAACATCTTATCACTATCAAAATAACTTTTACACTGTATCGGTTTTAAGTTTCAAACCTATACTTGAATCTTTAAAATTCCAAGAGTTACAGACTGAAGTGTATGTATTTCAAACTATTTAAGAATTAATGAATAGTCTATGTAAAAAATCATTTAATATACGTCTTTAAGGTTAAGATGATTAATTAATTTACACAATGTGGATGGTATAACAGCCACATATACCTAGTCATTTGTTGGGGGTTCCTGTACCTATATCTGGATGGTAATAACAGCCACATACACCTAGTCATTTGTTGGGCGATTCCTGTACCTATATCTGGACGGTAATAACAGCCACATATACCTAGTCATTTGTTGGGTTCGATTCCTGTACGTATATCATAATAACAGCCACATATTTCAACTACCTATTTGACGGTAATAACAGCCACATATACCTAGTCATTTTTTGTGTATTGCCTGCCTATATCTGGATGGTAATAACAGCCACATATACCTAGTCATTTGTTGGGCAATTCCTGTACGTATATCTGGACGGTAATAACAGCCACATATACCTAGTCATTTGTTGGGCGACTCCTGTACCTATATCTGGATGGTAATAACAGCCACATATACCTAGTCGTTTGTTGGGCGATTCCTGTACCTATATCTGGACGGTAATAACAGCCACATATACCTAGTCATTTGTTGGGTGGTTCCTGTACGTATATCTGGACGGTAATAACAGCCACATATACCTAGTCATTTGTTGGGCGATTCCTGTACGTATATCTGGACGGTAATAACAGCCACATATACCTAGTCATTTGTTGGGCGACTCCTGTACCTATATCTGGATGGTAATAACAGCCACATATACCTAGTCGTTTGTTGGGCGATTCCTGTACGTATATCTGGACGGTAATAACAGCCACATATACCTAGTCATTTGTTGGGTGATTCCTGTACGTATATCTGGACGGTAATAACAGCCACATATACCTAGTCATTTGTTGGGCAACTCCTGTACCTATATCTGGACGGTAATAACAGCCACATATACCTAGTCGTTTGTTGGGCGATTCCTGTACGTATATCTGGACGGTAATAACAGCCACATATACCTAGTCATTTGTGGGGCAACTCCTGTACCTATATCTGGACGGTAATAACAGCCACATATACCTAGTCGTTTGTTGGGCAATTCCTGTACGTAGATCTGGACGGTAATAACAGCCACATATACCTAGTCATTTGTTGGGTGGTTCCTGTACGTAGTCGTTTGTTGGCGATCTGGACGGTAATAACAGCCACATATACCTAGTCATTTGTTGGGTGATTCGGTAATAACAGCCACATATACCTGTACAATTCCTGTATATCTGGACGGTAATAACAGCCACATATACCTAGTCATTTGTTGGGTGTACCTATATCTGGATGGTAATAACAGCCACATATACCTAGTCATCTGGATGGTAATAACAGCCACATATACCTAGTCATTTGTTGGGCGATTCCGTATATCTGGATGGTAATAACAGCCACATATACCTAGTCATGATCTGGACGGTAATAACAGCCACATATACCTAGTCATTTGTTGGGCGACTCCTGTACCTATATCTGGATGGTAATAACAGCCACATATACCTAGTCATTTGTTGGGTGATTCCTGTACCTATATCTGGACGGTAATAACAGCCACATATACCTAGTCATTTGTTGGGTGATTCCTGTACGTAGATCTGGACGGTAATAACAGCCACATATACCTAGTCATTTGCTGGGTGATTCCTGTGCCTATATCTGGATGGTAATAACAGCCACATATGCCTAGTCATTTGTTGGGCGATTCCTGTGCCTATATCTGGATGGTAATAACAGCCACATATACCTAGTCATTTGCTGGGTGATTCCTGTGCCTATATCTGGATGGTAATAACAGCCACATATACCTAGTCGTTTGTTGGGCGATTCCTGTACCTATATCTGGATGGTAATAACAGCCACATATACCTAGTCATTTGTTGGGTGATTCCTGTGCCTATATCTGGATGGTAATAACAGCCACATATGCCTAGTCATTTGTTGGGTGGTTCCTGTACGTATATCTGGACTATGTTCAAGGCTGGATGTAAATATTTACGAAAATCTTAATAACTAGATTACTTACATAGACAATAAACAGACCTGTTGGTCATAATGGATTCCCGTCTGTGTACACAAAACAGGATTTGGGTATAAAAAACATACACGACCCCTGATAATACTTTGTCTACACCACCACCACCACAATCCTCTCCCCAACATATAACCGTACTCTCTACCTACACCACCAAAACTCCCCCTCCCAAACTTATTACTGTACTACCTACACCACCAGAACTCCCCCTCCCCAACTTATTACTGTACTACCTACACCACCAGAACTCCCCCTCCCCAACTTATTACTGTACTACCTACACCACCAAAACCCCCCTCCCAAACTTATTACTGTACTACCTACACCACCAAAACTCCCCCTCCCCAACTTATTACTGTACTACCTACACCACAAAAATTCCCCCTCCCCAACTTATTACTGTACTACCTACACCACCAAACCCCCCTCCAAAACTTATTACTGTACTACCTACACCACCAAAACTTCCCCTCCCCAACTTACTACTGTACTACCTACACCACCAAAACTCCCCCTCCCAAACTTATTACTGTACTACCTACACCACCAAAACTCCCCCTCCCCAACTTATTACTGCACTACCTACACCACCAAAACTCCCCCTCCCCAACTTATTACTGTACTACCTACACCATCAGAACTAATTCCCCTTCCTGATCAAACTTCCAACTCTGATCAGCCTTGATACCTATCACTAGTAATTTGGTATGTTTATTTGACTGCACAAGATCACAGCATGTTACCACCATGTCTATAAACTGTGGAGTTTGGGTCTAAAGGAGGCTTGATAGAAGTAGCACCTGCACTCACATGTACACCATGATAAGTGTAACAGCAATCTGAGTTTGATATGTATAGTATCTTTCATTGATCTCCAAAACATGCACCTTGTCTTTAATGTAAATACTGCAACATGCTGGGCCAGACTTGTAAGCTTTTCAAATACCAATATAAACCTTAAAACAGACAGTGTTCATACCTTGTGATATCGTTTTTGGGGTCAATGATTTTTATTCACTCTCTGCCTACAAATGGTATCATTAAACCTTCCCAAACCAACCACTGACATACGACATATTAAAAAGGTTTTCTGTTACACATATTCTACCTGGATATCTGACTTAACTATATCTACCTGGACATTTGACTTCACTATATCTACCTGGATATTTGACTTCACTATATCTACCTGGACATCTGTCTTCACTATATCTACCTAGACATCTGACTTCACTATATCTACCTGGACATCTGACTTCACTATATCTACCTGGACATCTGACTTCACTATATCTACCTGGACATCTGACTTCACTATATCTACCTTAACATTTGACTTCACTATATCCACCTGGACAACTGACTTTACTATATCTACCTGGACATCTGACTTCACTATATCCACCTGGACATCTGACTTCACTATATCCACCTGGACATTTGACTTCACTATATCTACCTGGACATCTGACTTCACTATATCTACCTGGACATCTGACTTCACTATATCCACCTGGACATCTGACTTCACTATATCCACCTGGACATCTGACTTCACTATATCCACCTGGACATCTGACTTCACTATATCTACCTGGACATCTGACTTAACTATATCTACCTGGACATCTGACTTCACTATATCCACCTGGACATCTGACTTCACTATATCTACCTGGACATCTGACTTCACTATATCCACCTGGACATCTGACTTCACTATATCCACCTGGACATCTGACTTCACTATATCTACCTGGACATCTGACTTCACTATATCTACCTGGACATCTGACTTCACTATATCTACCTGGACATCTGACTTCACTATATCTACCTGGACATCTGACTTTACTATATCTACCTGGACATCTGACTTCACTATATCTACCTGGACATCTGACTTCACTATATCTACCTTGACATCTGACTTCACTATATCTACCTTAACATTTGATTTAAATGTTTAACTATATCTTCCAAACTTTAAACTCTGCATGCTGTCTATCAGAAAGACACTGGAGACACTTGTCTTATCCCCCTGTGAATATTGGTCTAATTACTGCATGCCTAGGTGTTTTAAATAAGATCGATTGTAAAAGTAATTGATTTACCACAATGAGATTTTAGCACATAACTACCTGTTGGCAAATTAGCACCACGATGAATGTGTACATTCACAGTAACTGCTATATTAGCAATGTACAGAAACTGCATTCAGTTCTATAATATCTTAACACAAGACTTTCAGCACTAGCAGACAATTTGAATGACTAAAACCAATATCTTTACAGTAATTGTGAAAGAAATTCATATATTTTCAATTTCAGTTCTTTTTGATTTTCGTAATTTCCAGAAAGCTTTTGGTTTTTTTATCCTAGGATATTCCACAGCGAAAACAAATCATTACGACATTTATTTAAGGTGAGACCGATCCAATAAAGACACCATGAAACGTTTTCTGATTGTTAATGATCAAGGTCAGAATGTTTTCAATTGAACACTAAAGTATCGGGATCAATATCATCATAGGGAACAGTGGGTAGCTGATACGGAAGATAAACTGTGTGATCTTGATGTGGTGACAGATCATTAAGTATGATAATGATGATGATGGCTTAGTCATTAATAGATCAAACAAGTTAAGATGTAGTGTAAAATCTCAGCATGTCAGGATAGCTTTATTAGTTTATTTTATGTCCTATCAACAGCAAAGGCCATTTCAGAATGACTTCTCTGACCTCTCGGTGTATGTGAGGTGAGAATATGTGTCCTTGAATGCTTGTTTTTATGTACATGTTTGTGAAAGCCCCCTATTCAACTGAAGCCAACTTTAACAGATAAACAAGTGAATACACTCTACAAAATGCTAAACTGCATTGTGGAGCAATGTAACCATATTTAAAGACTCTGGTATGCCTTGGCCACGGGACTGCTAGAACGCCAAACCCTCTACTCAACTAATCGCCAAAAAGTAAGGCAGTGTAAGGGAAGACATTAGGAAAAGAATCTCTTTATAAAACAGAGAAAATAGAAATATCCTAGATTAAGTCACCTTTCACAATCATACAATGAAGGCAGCAGGTGCCTTACACCCTACCTATAGGGTAGGACATGGGATAATTCATGGGTGTATTAATACAAATGTGCCAGGTAAGAAAGTATTCAAAGAAAGGGGTAAAACTCTGAAATTATTTCAAACTTACTTTCACCGTCACATTGCACTCCACAGTCCCGTTTCTCAATGCCAGTTCCAATCTCTGACAATCGTTTATTTGTGTCCACTAGTTCAGTCCTCAGGGCATTTACTTCCTGGTTAGCTGCATGTATAGATCCATCAATACGAGCTGCCAGCTGTCTATTGTCTTCTACCATTTTACGAAACTTGCTCTGCGCGTCGTGAAGAAGCCGTCGAATCAAAACCATCGACGACTTCAGTGTCTCTTGTTCATTTGGCAAGAGATCCTTGTCGAAATCGAAACTCTGTCCATTGGATGGTGTGAATATATACTGTACAATCTGGTCATTTAGAGAATCCAAAGACTGTATAGCTGGAATACAAAAACAGATTGTTGAAATATAGTCATGATTACACCACACAATTAAATCAGAGAAAATTTAGATTTTCACATTATATTCTACTTGTATTTGATATTAATCTTTTATAGATCATATCTGGATCACCATAAGGATGATGTGATGATGGAAACCAAATTAAAATGAAATAATCAAATTTTTCAATTTCACACTGAAATTCCATCCGACATTGGAGGTATGTATAAAAACCATATAAAATATCTCATCACATTTTCTCTCTCAAAATTACCTCCTTATAACATCTTAACCTTTACAAAATGTCTAGCACATCCATGAACCATACCCCTTCCTAGTACATTCCACGTAACAATGATTCTGATCAATACAGAAACACTCTAATGTGGAACCTTGAGACCAAATGTGAATATATCAGATGGAGTTAACCCACAGATTGGGTACCAGATATACTAGGCAGCAAGAATGAGAAATCTTCTGGCATATATATACAGCAATTCTCAAGAGAAGATGTGTGACTTATATGAGAAGTGATATCAGCCTACTTAAAACTCAAGTGATTCATTCAGATACTGTAAATTTTTTTATAAAAATAAAATTAATGGATATATATATATACTGTTATAATCAGACACTTGAGATTCTCCTCTTTGTATCCCGCACAGGTCCAAATGAAAGCTGTTATAAAGATTTTTACAATAACAGCAAAACAACTCCCAAGAGTCTTGAAGGTGTAGAATTCTGGCATGCTACACCTCAAAAGCATGTTTGTAATCGATCAAAATGTAATAATTATACAACACATTTTCAGAACTTTTGTTTTTTCATCCTGTTTTTGAAAAATACCCTTTTATCAAGTTGATATGTATTTTCACTTGGAAGTAAAACTCATACATGAAACTTGATGCGACCAACATTCTATGAGCAGAAATTTTGTCTCTACAAACACTATGTAAAAGCACTTTAAATATTCCCCTGGTGTTGTGGTAGACTGGCATCAATTAGAAATGTTTTTAAGTCTATTGATAAATAGTTAACAAGAAGGATGTGTTATTTCAATCAATATTACCAGAACACTTAGAGTTTTTGTACAATCCCAGCAACAACTGATAGGCCAATGGAGACTACATGTATAGAGGTGATCTCTTTACACCCACGGCCCAGCAGTAAATAGTTCTACCATTGTTAAACACATATGGACTTTACGCAACAAATATGCATTAAGCTACAGGTCCTAAACAATTCTTATCTAACACTGCGAAGTGTAATATTTCTATCACGAAAGTTTTCAGTAGGCAATAAAAAGCTACAGGGACATCTTAGTTATACAATGGTGTTATGGATTCATGGCAGTGATACATCATTGTGTTATTTAGTTTTTTCTGGGTTTTAATTTTGCACTCTGTAAATATAAACATGGTTTGAATAAGTATAAATCAATGACAACTCGAAGCTTGTTTCAATTCCTATTTCCTATTTAGTGTTAGAATTATTTCGCTGAAACTCTGAAATCATGATGTAAATATAAACCTTCAGACAAAGAATTTTTATTATTTATTTATTGTTTATTGTTGTTATATATAATAAAATGCATAATTAAATACAAGAACAATAACTTGAGATTAAGTTTAAAAAAAAATAATCTTAAAAATAATTTTAGAAATTTTAGTTTTCTTTTTCATTTTTCATTTCTTTTCTAAAATTTTATTTTGGAATTCGATCAAATGGGAGGTACTCAAATTTTATTATTTTAAATGAAACAGAAACATTTTGGTCCAAAGTGAGAGTTTGAACTGTAGAAACTTGTAACTAAAGCTTCATAGCTCCTCAATAAATATTGTAAATTGTTACAGTTGATAATCAAAACAAAATAGAAAATTGATGTCATTTTTTTATCAATTCAAAAATTTAAGCGTAAATGACAAAAAAAATTCAATTTGCTTATTTTCCCATCTTTTGATATTACAGCAACAGCACGAAAAACAACAACAAATTTTCTAATATTTCACACAAACTCATATATAACTTGCTTAATACAAAATTCAAACATTTATGCTTTAGAGATTTCATAAAATAAAACCTTAAAAGTCAGACAAAGATTGGCATAAGGGCCATACTTGAAACGGACTTCATTTCGCAGAGTCATTTTTTAAATGCGTGAAATTGAAGCCCAATGTGCAGCACGATGACATTATGCATCAATCATTCATTCATAGCATCATATCACCATTATTCATGTATAATGATGATAAGCATTACAAAGGTTATGAATTACAACAGTAACAGTAAATACATGTTGTATATCCTACCTGTATCACACAGCCTTGATGACGATCCCATGATACCCAGCTTATTTTTACATCACACTTCCAGGTTTTTATCGTAACATCCAGAATCAAATGAAGACATTTTATTTCCTAACCATTATCAGATTATTATGTGTGGCAGTGTATTGTAACAATTGTTCACTGTTTACTATTCCAGGGAAGGAGATAACATCACATTTCACGCACCTCTACCTTCATATCTGATTCCTTTGTGATGAATGTCTACCATTTCAATGGCCACCCTCTACATACTTCTCTACATGGATCATATGTAGTTTTGGAATTCACATAAATACGTGGGTGCATGTCATCACGTTGATATACACACATTATATTTGTTTCCAAAATTACAATTTTGTCACGAACACATTAAAAAAATGTAAAAATGTCGTCAACCATAAAGATGAGTCACAATGAAGGAAAAAAAATCTTTTTATCTCATTTTACGGATGAAAACACAAGTAAACAACCTTTACCTTCAGAAATGTTGTAAGTTATCATAACAAATGGTTACAGATGGCTAAGTTCAATTAAGCCTGCCTGGTCTCAACTCAAGCAATCTTTGTTGATCAAAATAAAAATAACACCAGTTACAGTTGATCGGAATACAAAACCTTAATATTCCAGTGACTGACTTCCTTCTCACTGAAGGTTTACATCTCACAGAACAGATTAAAACACAAAGGAGAAAATTTGAGTTATGAAAAATTTATATTAATATAATCTATCTCCAATCATACTACAGACATGAAAATTTCACATTTTATATTCTCAACAACCCTAAACAGACAGAAAAAACAGTCCACGGTGAGTTCTCCAGAATATATCTTACAATAACACAATATTTATAGTCGCTCAAATATGTGTCAAATTCATCCTTTTGATGCAAATGGAAGAAAAGAATAAAATCACTTCCACATAACGTTAAATTTCCTCAAAGCTTATGAATCCCAAGGGTTTTTTTCATGAAATTATGTAAATCAATCTTCATGTTCAATATTAGTCTGCAAGCATCTGACAAAACTGAAGATTACATCAAAATCTGAAGACAAAATAACATCTATGTTTTAATGCCCAATATTATGTTTTTAAATTGGAAGACATCAAAAATAGACATTTTTATCTAACCATGAAATACACTCGGAGTGAAAATAATCAATTAAAAAAATCAAAGCTACCATCCTGTGTACACGCATCAATGTTCCGGTGTTGTTCTGGAACACTGACATACGTCTGATAAACTTCATTAAATAGTTATAAATTGGCTACAATTTTCCAATATCTCAAACCTTAGATAAGGATGCACTGAATGCCATTATTAACTATCTGAATTTTTTGACATTGGACCAATTTTTGTTCTTTTGAAAAAGATATTTCATTTAAAATTCAAAATTGATAATAAAAATACATAATAGCAACATTTTACCGTAAGGTTTTTTGAAGGAAATATCAAACATTCTATAAAGTTGACTTCAGTAAACAGGTGGAATAGTAAGTACCTTCTATAAAGCTGGTCCAGCTTGTGACTCAATCTTCAACAGGTAGAAAGCTCCCTCACATTAATGATGATAAGTCCCCAGTGAGTCATTAATACGAAAACTTTGTACCCCAGTACAATCATATAACAGTGTATTGATGGCAGTCAACATCAGATGTCACAGCTACTACTAGGAATGTTACATTTACTTCAGGTTGTTAACAATGTATGTGATGACCATTTCTATATCAGATTTGACCTAAAATGTCTTCGTCAAATATTGCTCAAAATATAGTTTACTTTCCCTAGTAATAGTCAACCCCTAGAGAAACCTTGAGACCATCAATATCAGAACTCTTGTACCTGTTTATAAAGGAGCTTACTGGTGTCTTTCATTTAAGGATGGTCGGTAATACAGCTGCCTTTTAACAAGATGTCCAGGGTTTGATTTTCTGAATGGATTAGAGAAGGTATTTATAGGGTTACCTACCCGACCACATGGGTTTTCCCTGATATTCCGATTTCCTCCCACAATAAGACCCCTTGCTTAAAGCTTGTTTTACAATTGTTGTTGAATAAATGTTTAAATTATATCATACCTTTTGAAATATAATTTTTTTTTCTCCTAAAAATATACATTCTGACTTAAGATGTAATCATGTACTCCGAAAGAAACTCCATAACCAAATAAATATTACTGATGCTTATCAACACAACCTGGCGATGCTGATAATGATGCCAGGAGAACAGAAAATTCAAGGTGTTAGCTAATAAACGGAAGATTCATTACAAGGATTTAACTGCCAGAAAACAGTGATGTTAATTTATATATATATATACAGTTACTTAAATAATCTCCTGCTTTCAGTTTATTAAGGTAGAAATTTTTTTATCAGTTTTCTTTTCAAGAATATCATTATTGTAACATTTTCTATTCTTAAAATAGAAGAGAATTTTCCAGGTATTTTAGTTTTAAATTTAACTTTACAGGAGAAAACTGGAAGTGTTGGTAAATACAATGAGACAGGAAACACCTTAACAGTGGATTCCTGGTGGGAGACAGGAAACACCTTAACAGTGGATTCCTGGTGGGAGACAGGAAACACCTTAACAGTGGATTCCTGGTGGGAGACAGCAAAAACACCTTAACAGTGGATTCCTGGTGGGAGACATGTTTGTAAATTGAAGAACCAAG